CAGTCTGTTCTTGCAAGATCGATCTGTTCTTCCTGCAAAACCTATTTTTGTTTTTTACTTTCTATGCAGAATAAGACATTGCAGCATTGGTGGGTATCTAACAGCCAACACATCTTCCCTTTTTTGTTTGGTTGAGCTGTTCGTATTTCATATGCTGCAGAAAATAAGGTGGATGTTTTTTTAAGAGGGATAAATATTTCCATTTACTGCAGGAATGTGCAGCAAGATGAATCAGTTGTTATGAACTTGTTATGAAGTTGTTATGAAGCTGTGAATATCAGTAGTCTTACAGTTGGGAAATCAGAGCAGACCTACTTAAATTTTCTTGGATATTTGTTTTCATGGCGACCTAAGGTCAGAAACTTGGCAAAACTCTGGTAGTTGTAGGGTTGCACCGTAAATACTGGGAATGCCATAAATGATAGGAAGGAGAGTCCCCTTGCTGGGTTGTTCCTGTATGCCATGGTCAGCCCTCTCCCAGGAATATGGCCCCATCAGTCTGCTGGAGTTTGGGAAGAGAAAAAGAGAATGACACAATTGATGTTATCAGTGGTATTGCTTTGGCCTCAGACTCATCCTGCTTAGGTTGAGGTTTCGGTCCCCACAGTGAGAGGCCCCTCCAGGAGGTGGGTGTGAGATGCCAAATCACACTTGGGCAGATCCCATCCTCTTGTCACTGTATGGAAAACTTCTGAGAACTGCCGTCTCCTCTGGGACATCCCTGTTTCAGTGGGATGACACCAGCCCTGGCACCCTTGAGTCGTGGCCAAGGATTGCAGCCACTTGTGCTGGATGCTGCATGACAAATGGAACTTTGCAGTCTTTTCTGATACAGTGTTCATGTGAGTGATGCTCATTGGTCACAGTCTATTGCTGTGCATAAACCTCTAATTTGAGATCAGTGGGATGTGGTCCATCGCGTCAGGACCAGAGTGTGCGTGTTGGTGCAAGCCTGATGATGCCATGGAGGGGATGGAGCAGGGTGAGCACCCGACTTGGTCCACTGGTGGATGAATGTCAGTCGCACACCAAAGCAGCACCTCTGTGCTGCAGCAACTGAGACCAGCAAATGCTGAGTTCAGACCTCAGACACTTTGTTTTAAATCAATGTGAAATACTTTAGCTCAAGCAGTTTCAGTTCTAGATTATTTAGGTTTTTAAAAATGTTTTTATTGCCCATTTGAAACAGAACAGTTTGGAAGTGTCCCACAGGGGAACTTTTTTAGATCTTCCCCACCCCCCCAAATTCTTCCCTCCCTTAATTTTTCTTTTTCCACTGGGACGTTTTGGATCAGGTTTGGTGGAAGGAGCCCACCAACCTGGTACGGTGCTGGTACGGTGCTGCCCTGCTCACGTATGTGAGGCCAAGAGGAGAAGCACTATCTGCCCCAGCCCTGCAGTAAGGCAAGGCTTAGATAAGGATGAGCACTAATGAGTACTTGGCTTTGGAGCACGGGGGAGTGCTGTGTCGATGGAGGCAGTTGCTGGAGGTAGGCAATGAATGTGCTGCAGCTGCTCTGTGACTCAGTGCCTCGCTCTGTCTGGTTGATGTTATCCATGCAGCATCCTTACCTGGAGTGGTCCTGAGTGGGATGTGGTTGGGTACTTTGATTTTACTAACCACGTACCTTAGCCTTCAACTTCAGTCCAAGGTTGTTCAGATCTTTAGAGAGCTTCAGGTTTGCTTTCTTGGGGGACTGCTTGTCTTCTTGATGCCAGAGGAAGCTTGTGTGTTTCCTTTCTCGCTGCTGCCCTTGTGATCCTCCTAGCTGGTGTTGTGGGGCACTGGTGTGACACAACTGGTGCAGCTGTGAATAAGCTGGTTATTTGCTTGCATCCTGAAGAGCAAGTAGCTGGAGCCAACTGGATGGTGACACATATCCGTCTTAGCTCCTCTGCCCAGTAGGATGTACTCACTGGGCTTGCTAGCCCTGCACAGCTGCATGTGGTGGTCTTGTGCTGCTGTCTGGTGGTACTCGTTCAGCCCTGGGTGGCTGTGGCATGGTGACATTCAGAGCCCTTCCCATTGCCAGGTCTCCGGGTCCATGTCCATCTGCTGTGTGTTTTAAATGTGGTTGGGAATCACTGGAGAGTGACTCATCCAGTGTTGCTCTTGGCTGTGGAATGACAGCAAGTACACTCTCACCAGTGTTCATGGCCAAGGGCCTTTCTTTGCTCAGACACTGCTATTTATCCTGCTTTATGAGAGGCTTATCGTTACCATGGAGAGGCCAAGATTAAGCTCAGGGATAGATTGGCCAAGCAAGAGGCGTTTCCTTGCACAGCAGTGAATCAGCTCCCCACGCTGGTTGAGCTCAGCAGGACCATGACAGTTGTTATTCCTTTTCCTGGGATAAAGCGGGGCAAGGGAATGGCCAGGATCTGTGCAACTATGTTGTTGCTCATGGTAGCACTCACTGCTTCAGCTACAGCTGTGACTGTCCTTTCCCTGCCCTGTTCCAGGACAGGGGGTGGCTGCCACAACAGAGTGACCAGAACTGAAGAGTTTGGCTTTGGTTTCTAACTGCAATCACTTTCCCTTCCTCTCCCCCCTGGTAATTTTGTCATTGCTGCTGACCCCTTCACTGGCCTGTAATTCCTCCCTGCTTCATCCTGTGGCCATTGCTGCAAGGCATGGGTGCAAGCAGAAGCAATGGTGGCGCTGGTCCTGGCGGGGATATGGACTTGGGGGCCAGCTGGGAGCTGAGCACCCCCAGCTAGCCGTGTGGTGAGCTGGCTGTCAGTTTGCTGAATCTCTGTGTCTGTGTGGGGAGCAGAGAGAAGGGAAGGGAGAGTGGGGTAGTAGGAAAGAAGGTTTTACCCAGGTTTGTGTTCCCCAGGGCTGTGTGGCTGCAGCGAGCCAGGCTTGTGTGCAGAGTGCAGGTCTGACCTGCACGCTTCCACCCTGTGTGAGTTTGCTGCCTCTGCACCAGGTCCTGGTTGGGGGGACAGCCACCACCTGAGCCAGGGCACTGGGAGGCCTGGAGCCATGCTCCTGTGGCCCTTCACTCGAGTCCTTCCCTTCTCTCACAATGGTGCTGTGAGCTGGCAAAGAGCCTGCTGAGCACGTGGCAGCAAACCATGTGCTGAGGACCAGAGCAAGTAATAGTGCTGTATCTAATACTTCAGACCCCCTGCTCTGTGCTTTAAGTGTTTTGCAATGGGAAGTTCAGTAAAGATGCAAAGGAGCCAATGGCTTATGGTTTGTTGCATAAAATTATCCTTATTTTATTTGTATCGCCATACAGCTCACCCAGTGCTATTGTCTGTGGCTTTTAAATTTTAAGTTGAAACCCATTCAAGCTTCCGCCTCTATCCAAGGACCTCCCGAAACTTCGAAATCCCAAGACTTCCACCTTCAGCACAGGTTTCCCTCTAGAGAGCTCTCCTAATCCCACTTGGAGTGGGAGGGTGGACTGCAGATCTCCAGAGGTGGCTTCCAACCAACAGTTCTGTGGTCCTGTGAGATCAAAGGCTCACTCTGCAGCAAAGCAGTGGTAGGGCTGCATAACCGGCTTCCTTGGGTGTGCCTGAGCAGGCATTACTGGCCTTTTTGGAAAGGGTATATTTAAGCAGAAACATGGTGTTACTGCTGTGGTGGGACTGAAACTTCTAAGCATGGGGAGGTCAATAGCATTACCACAATGTCATGGGTGACTTACGTCTGTTTTTATTGCTGAAAGCTAGATTTTTGAACAGAATTAAAACCAAGCCAGGTTGTTAGAGCAACATTTGGTATTTTCCCTCTATTGCTCATTTAAACAGCCAGGTATTTAAAGATGAGCATAAAAACAATCCTGTTTTTCTTCTAATTCAGTATCCTTGGTCCCTGTGTCTTTCGGTCCAAGGCAGGAATTTTTTAGTCCCAGATGTGGTTAAAAGTTGGGTGTTTGTCTTCTCCTTGGAGATTGGGGTGAAGCACAGGCTGTCCTGGACCGCAGGGAGCAGTGGCAGGCTTGGTGATGTGCGGTAGACTTCTTGCATTAGGTTGCAAAAGGCTCTGATAGCTACTGTACAGCAGCAGAGCTGTGGCTTTTGACCTGGGCTGTTCCAGAGCTCACTGCATTCCTGGAGGAGCAGAAAGTGTTCCCTAAGGAAAATTCTTTCTCATGGTTGTCAGTCATTACTGTGATGCTGGCTTGAGAGAAGGCAGGGAACAAAGGCTGTGAATGAGCTGGGTGTTTATTATGTTGTCTTGTTCTTCCCCAAGTTCTGGACTTTCCTGGTTTGTCAGGAGAAGTGATATTTTTTTTAATTAGATTGTGGGAGTTGTGGCTTCTGCAGGCTTGGCTGTGTTATTAGTCCTGACTGCAGCCAAACAGCAGCGGAAGCACAAGTACAGATAGTTGATTAAAGCAGATTCCAGAAACAGCTGTGCTTTACTGGAGATGACGAGACTTTGCTTCTTTGGGATGTAGAAATCTTGGTGATAAGGGACCTCTGGGGATCTCTAGTCCAAACCCTATTTGGAACAGGACTGTACCCAGCCCTAGGTCAGGTCAGCTATGGCTTTATCAAAGTAAGCCTTGAAAACCTCAAGGGAAGGACATCTGCCTTTCTGGATATCTTTTCCAGTGCTGCACCACCTTCCTAGTAAAGAGTTTTTATCCTAATGTCCAGTTTGAACCTCCTAAGCTGCAATTCATGGCTGTTTCCTGTTGTTACACCATCTGCTGCTTTAGGTGAGGAAGCTGCTGCATCAAAGAGGTGAAATGAACTTTTTAGTATTGTGTATATATTTCTCTCTGAACTGCCAGCAGTGGGCATTGAAGTGGCAGCTTCTGGCTGCTGCCTGAGCTCTGCAGAAAGGCTCAGGAGAAGAGCACAGGTGTTGATTGCTTTTGTGATACTTATGTTCCCTTGGGCTTCTTTCTCATGTTCAGGTTTGCATCAGATCTCACAGAACAAGGTGGCAGTGCTGCTCCTGGCTGGAGGACAAGGAACTCGCCTGGGAGTGAGCTATCCCAAGGGCATGTACAATGTGGGGTTGCCCAGTGGCAAGACCTTGTATCAGATCCAAGCAGAAAGAATCCACAAAGTGGAGCAGCTCGCTGGCCAGAGACACCACTGCAAGTGTGCCATCGCCTGGTAGGTGACTTGGAGCCACTGACCTACTGTGCAGGGGTCTTTGTGTTGCAGTCTTGCCTACATTGTCTTCCTAGAAGCGCTTTTCTGGGTGCCGTACAGAGACGCATCAGGAGAGAGCCTTTTGTCAGCAGGATTTGCGGTGCCAGCAGCTGGGGGAGGGTGCGCAGGGATGGGAAGTGGCGGGTCCGTGTCTGAGGGACCGTGAGACCTGAGGGACCGAGCACTGCCCTTGAATCACTGACCACTACCCTAACTGCTGTACCGTGCTGTCTTTTCCAGCACAGTCCCTGAGCAACGTTATAAACAGCACTTTTCAGTGCTTGTTTCAGATCCTTTGCAAGAGATTTCATCCATTTGTGCTGTGCTTTCTCAGATTCCTGCATGGAGGGAGAGATCACCTAGAGCTCACCTTCCAAGACCCTCCGCCTCCGCTTGCCCACAATTTCTGCCGCAGCAAAAAAACCGTCTTCCCCTCGCAGCAGTAAATGCTTGTCATGCTCCATTTTCAGGCCACGTCCTGGTGTTGTTTACAGCTGGCTGCTGTCTCTCCTGGCTGCTCCTAGCTTTCAAAAGCCTCCAGGCTTCAAAAGAGACTAGCTCTGTGCAATGTGAAAAATATGAATTACCTATGGGATGTGGTGGGTGAGAGAGAGGAAGGCTCTGTGGCACGGTTCTGCGAATGTGTTCTGCTGAGTGTTCTTCATTAGACTCTGAAGAGATACCTTTACGAAACCACTGCCTGGACTGAGACAGGGTTTGGGAAGAGTGTGTACCGCAGGATGCTGTAATGTCTCTCATTTAATGCTCTTGGGTTTCCTCCCTTTTGTGTTCCATTTGTAGTTTTGTCTTTTGCTTGTGCTTTTCTTGCTCACTGCTCAGCACCCATTCCTATCCAGGTACATCATGACAAGTGAGTTCACGCTGGGGCCAACAGAGCAGTTCTTTGTAGAACATGACTACTTCAACCTGGATAGATCCAATGTGGTCATGTTTGAACAGAGGATGCTGCCTGCTGTCACCTTTGATGGGAAGGCCATCTTGGAGGAGAAGGGGAAAATTGCTATGGCTCCAGGTACCCTGCTGTTCACCCTTACATGGTACAGTAATATAGTATGTGTTGATAATTGCTACTAGCCATCAGGCAGCCTTGGCACACGGAGCAGTCTTTGGAGGTCAATGTTAATGCTTCTGATTAGTGTGGGAGGGTTCAGTTAAATGTTTCAGGCTGGTAATCAAGAGTGTAGCAATCTCTGTTTAGTTCTTGCTGGAGATTTGCCCACAGCACATGGTTTATATCAAAGCCTGGGAGTACTGGCAGGATTAGGAGTGGGGCAGCTGCAGGTTAGGAACAACATGCATCAGCAGGGCTGTGTGTGAGGTCCCTGGAGTGCTGCCTCCCAGGGGTGAAGCTGTTGGGAGTCAGGCTCCTGTTTAAGGCTGATAGCTGGAAATGAGTAAAAAAGCAGCAAGAAGATTAACTCTTTCCAAAATGATTGCAATGTCTCACCTAGTAAAGTTCTCCTCTTAACCTGGACACGGCAAGAGCCTCGGTGAAGGCAGCCTGGTTGGGGCCATGTTGCAGTGTTGTGGTTTTGCAGCTGCAGAGTGGTTTTCCTGAGCTGACAGGGGTGTCAAAGGAGGAACCGTGAAAAGGTGATCTATGATGAACAAACATGCAGGTGTCTTTCGTGCAGCTGCAGTTCAAACCTTTAAAAAGGCATTGGGAAGTTGTGGGGGGAAGATAAAATAAATCTAAATAAATCTTATTCTCTGTTTAGTCTTTTTCTCCAGGCTGAGTTTTAAATATGCTTTTGCTCTGCACTGGAAGAGAAGAAATGTAACAGGCTTTCCCCACCCTCTGCCTAATGTTTTGCCATTTAGAGTTTTCCCTCTGAGGGTCTTACAAGGCTTCATAAAGTCTTGTAACGCTTCTCTGTGAGGCTGGTCCCCACGGTCCCACCCTGCTGCTGAGGGAGCTGGGGTGTGGAGGGGAACAGGCTTGCCTGAACTGTGTGGCAGAGCTGGAAATAAAATCTGGTAGCACTGACTATTGGCTAGAAAGCATTCCCTGCTTTGCTGCTAAAGAAAGTTTGTTCAGGACTTTCAGCTTTTGCTCTATTAGCCACAAAAAAAATGCAAACAAAAATAATTAACCAGGGCTTTCTCTTTTTTCTCTTGCATTATAGATGGCAATGGTGGCTTATACCGTGCTTTGGTGGATAATAAGATCTTGGATGATATGAAGCAGCGTGGAATCCAGTATGTCCATGTATACTGTGTGGACAATATCCTTGTGAAAATGGCAGATCCAGTCTTCATAGGCTTCTGTGTTTCCAAAGGGGCAGATTGTGGTGCAAAGGTGAGGTGGTGTTAATGCTGGGCCATTTCCCCATGAAGAGTTAAGGTCTGATTACGCTTGGAAGCTGCTGACTAGGGTGAGCTTAGATGAACCAGGGTATTCAGACCTCTGTCCAACGTGGCTTGCTCCAAGCAGATTTAGAGGAGCTGCTTGCTACCTGTGTTGCATTCAGAATCCCTACCTGTGGGTGTCCTCCTCCCCTCTTCCCAGAGTACTGTGAAAAATAAACTTCAATTAGAGCAGGGACTGTAACTGCACAGGAAACTACAAACTAGAATTGTTTCCCCTTTATGCCCTCCCCTTTCTACAAAGGCACTTGGACTATCTAGAAGCCATATTGGACTGGGTTGTGTTTTAGAAATGCACCTTTAATAATAGAGGTGTTCCTTATGCCCCACTGTGGAAGATGGGGAAAGCCAAACCAGCCTGGTTTTGTCACCCTAAAGCAGCAGGTGCCTGAGGAGAGATTTATATTACTTTAATCATTAACACTGTTCATGCAGACAGGAAACTGAACGCTAATAGGTGCAAACATTTTTTATTTAAATGCTGCCAGGTCCCAGTCCTTGATAAGAGAAGTACCCCACAGTATGTTGATTTCTTTTAACTGGTTTGTCTTCTGAGCAACTGTGGAATTAAGTGGTTGAGTACTAGGTTTTATGCCCAGTTGCTGGGGAAAATGTGCCTCCAGCCTATTCCCGTACACCCGGTGCTGGAGGATCAGTGTGCAACAGTCTGTAGATCGTTTGTACGTGGGAGTTGGCGTAGTGCTGGGATTTTCTTCCTCCTTGTCATAGCCCTCTGTCCTGTGGCTGCAGGTGGTGGAGAAGGCCTACCCCACAGAGCCTGTTGGGGTGGTGTGCTGTGTGGATGGGGTCTACCAGGTGGTGGAGTACAGTGAGATCAGCCTGGAGACTGCGCAGCAGCAAAGCCCCGATGGGGGACTAATGTACAGCACTGGCAATATCTGCAACCATTTCTTCACAGTTGAGTTCCTGGAGACAGTGGCCCAGTAAGTTCCAGCAGACCTGCTAGACAGCTGTGGAGCCAGAAATGCTTCCAAAAGTGGGAGTTCCCATTTCCCACTCTGTAATTTCATTTATGGGTACCTCCTGCTCTGCTCTTCACCTCCTCTCTCCTCCAAACAGTTCAAAACATCTGTGTCACTTTCTGACAGCCCCAGCATGCTCTTCAGGCCTTTACCCAATGAAGAGCTTCCATGCTTTGCTGTAGCTAAATTGACTGAGATACACCAGTGCATGACCTTCTGGGGCCTGCAAGGGTGAGCAGCCACATGGGCTGCAGTGCGGTCAGTGATGTGGTCAGTGATATAGCCCCACGCTGAGGATTTTAAATGGGAACGTCACCCATGCCATCCCTTGGGACAGCAGAGGTTGGGGGAGAGGGTGAAGCTGGGGGAGGGACTCTGCACTTTGGTGTTGGGAGATGGGGATGTTGATGCTGGGCATTCAGTGAGCAGCTGTATGACCTTCCTGAAGAGCTTGATCCACCCTTGTGTGAGGGATCTGCTCTACTCCGTTGTCATCCCGGTCAGATAACAGTTTGGGTTACCTTTTTTTAATCTCTGCCTGCAGTTTCAGCTCGACGCTAGGTCCTCCCTCTCCTCTTGCTTTACCCTGTCATGTCCCGCTGGTACAGGGAGTGCCGTTGGCCTGGCTGCTCTGCTCAGTGAACTGTTTTCTGGATGTGACTGGGATCAATTTGGAGAGAGCAACACCCACAACAGTTGAGAGATGACCCAGAGCAGTAATAAGCCATCTGCTTCCCAGAAGCATACTACTTTTTCCTAAGTGGGCATGAAGTAAATGAACTTGTTTCTTCTCCTTTTGCAGGAAATATGAGCCGCAGCTGAGGCATCACGTAGCCATAAAGAAGGTGCCCTACATTGACGAGGAGGGAAATCTGGTAAAACCGTTAAAACCGAACGGGATTAAGCTGGAGAAGTTTGTGTTTGATGTGTTCCAGTTCTCTAAGTTAGTGGCAGACATGATTTTATTTTTTTCCTCCCTTTCTCAATGTTTGTTTGAATGACTATAGGTTGTAACAGGCCTTGCCAGGGAGCATGTGGTTTGTGGGTGGCTTGTTAGAAAGGCTGTTGGATCTACACCAAACTCCAACACAACAGTAATGCCAAAGGGTCTGAGAGGTGCAGTCACAGGGTGCTCAGCAGCAGCCAGGTTTGCTCTGACCATGCTCCCAGAACTGTTCATTCCACTGAGGATGCGTTGGCTGGCCCGGCCTCTGCCAGTCCTGTGAACGAAAGAGGAAAAAAAAAGGAAATCGAGCACAAAGCCAATGTTAATACAAGCCCATGTTGGAGTATTCAGACTCGCAAAAATTTGGTCTTTCAGGATTGTGGCTTCCATGGCAACTGCAGCTCTGGTTATGTTTTTGGTGTGTGTTACGCCAGGGCTCAGCTCACACCCTTTGTGCTTGGAAAACAGGTTGTTTAAGCACTGTGGGGCCAAGTTACTGTTGCTGTGGCAACTGTCAGTGTTGACTTGCCAAGCTCTAAAACATAGCTGAAAGTGCTGTGCCATAGTGTTAGCGCAGTCAGGGGTACTTTGTGTTTAGCAAATGTGGGTTTTTAATAACTTAGGAATTTAGCATAAGTGTTCTTATAAAACCTATTTTCCGAGGTCTCGAATTGAGCAGTAAATATTCTGTTTTAGGCTTAAATAAATGGCAAAAAGAGACCTCAGGCAAACTGAATTATCTTTGTTTGGGGATAGTATTTTTCTTTTTAGAGGATTTACTTTAGGATAGAGAGCTCAAGGTTTGAACTGGTCTCTGTTTCCTGATGTGCATTCAGTAAAGAAATATCATACCAAAGGCAAAAACAGTGTGATGGAAACAGTGCCAAGTTCTGAGCTTTGAAAGGACTCATTTGCAAGCAGTGATTCCTTGTGCTTTTTTAATAATACTGCAAAGCCAGCTTGGTGGCTGCTCTTCACACGTGAAATGCAGAAATGCACAGATGGTGCTGTGGGATTTTTTAATTTGCATTCCTATTTCTGATAAACAGCTGTACTTAACATTCAACTGTGAATCCTCCCATATTGCTTATTCATCCCTGGGAACTGGTGTCCTCGGTTGATCCTTGGGAGCCTACAGACTCCCAAATGGAGTGGCCATTTCTTGGAGCAGGGGTGTGGTGCTGTGAAGTGAGCTGCACAGCTTGGCTCTGTGTCTGAACTTCAGGCCTTGCTGCTCTCTCCATCCTGCTGTGCTCTTAGCTGAGACTTTTTGTCCACAAGCTTCCTAGTGCCTGGAGAGGTTTCTGTCAGATCTTTGCAGAACAGTTGCTTTTCTTCTCACCTGTGCATAGCTCTGGAGGTTGTGAGGCTGCTGTTATATTCCCAAAGAGACTGGCCTTCTTGTGTTTTTTCCATCATACAGCCCTGGTACTTCTTTGCTCTTCAGATGGGATGGGGGCTTTCCTTAGCTTGACTGCCCCAGGTTGCATACATCGCTGCTACCTAAAATATATATGAGCTTTTCCCCATGACAGTTGTTGTTGCATCAACAGGGCTGCTGGCTAGCTTTGTTTTTTATTATCATTGTTTTCTCCCCTTTGGTGGTAGGAATTTTGTAGCATTTGAAGTTTTGAGAGAAGAGGAGTTCTCACCACTAAAAAATGCAGATGCAGCTGACAAAGACACTCCTACCACTGCTCGGCAAGCTCTCCTGGCCCAGCATTACCGCTGGGCTCTCAAGGCTGGGGCCAGATTTCTGGATGAAAATGGTTGCAGGATACCGGAGAAACTCAGGTATGAACCTCTGTGACCTTCTCTGCAGCTTCTCTACCTGTGGCTGCTCAACTGTGTCTGCTAGCTAATGGCATGTACTGTGCTCTACAAAACCAGGCATTAGTATGATCACAGGGTGACTCAGCATGATTTTCATTCATCTGGTCTTTTCTGAACATGCACAGTAATGTCTATTACAGCTCCTGCCCCATTAAGGGTTGTGAGTGCTCTAGACAGTAATGCACAGTGCTCTGGGCTTTATCTCTGGCAGAGATTCCTGCCCTTGGGGTCATGAGTTGACTCCTCCTAGAGCAACTCGTTAGGCAGGGGCAACCTTTTCCATCATTCTGAATTTAGCCAGCCCAAGGAATTGTAATTTGTAGTCCTCACCAGCTTTTCTGAATATGGTCCCAGTGCTTAAAGGCCAGAAAGATTCTCAGGTGGGCTTAAGGATCAGCTATTATGGCAATTACCAATTCAGATACTTCCTGCATCATGGTGGATAGGAAGCTGCTTTTACTCCGTGGGGCTATTACTTCATCAGCTCATAGTTTAATAAATCCACAAGCTGTTCATTTTACTTGAAAAGCACCTCTGTAAAAGTGATGTTCTTGTTTTTATGAGAAATATTTGGGACCTGCTAATTCCCTTTTATTTTCACACTTTGTGTTCGAATAATGTCTGGTGTAGGTGAATATAACATGTCTTACACTTCTGGTTATCCTATTCTTGATGATCTTCCAAAGAAGATACACTTTTTTAAGTATAGCAAGAAGTTAATCCTGTGTTCTCTTCTCCAGTCTCTCAGGAACTGAAGATCCTCCGGCTGTGTGTGAGATTTCTCCCTTAGTGTCTTACTTTGGAGAGGTGAGAATAATTATCTATGGAGGTATTTTTAAGAGTGTGCAGGTATGCATCTGATTTCCTTCCAAACACAGGGGATTTCTTCAGCCTGGGCTTGCTGAGAAATGGTAAGATCAAGGGAACTAAGACCTCGGCTCTGTGTTACATTCGTGGTTCCACTGTGGTTTACTCTTCAGCAGTTTGTTCGCTCTCAGTTTTAGCAATCTGTAAAATGAGATTTGCAATGAGGCTGCACAGTTTCATTAAGATTCAGAAGTACTTTGAGATCTTCTGAATGAAAAGTGCAGAATATTCAAATTACAAAATCCATGGGGTCAGTGCATTTGGTTGTATACTAATTTGTGCCTGTCTCCCACAGTGAGTGAACACTAAGTGAGAAGTGTGGTATGTGCATTGGCTTTAGAGAAGCCACATTTTAGAACAGATTTCTCAAGTTTGTCCCTCTGAAAATAATTGGTCCTGGGAAAGCTGCTTCCATTTAGTAGTGGGAAGAGGAGCTTCCCTGTTGTCGTGGTTTAGCCCCAGCCAGCAACTAAGCACCACGCAGCCGCTTGCTCACTCCCCCTACCCTGATGGGATGGGGAGGAGAATCGGAGGAGTAAGAGTGAGAAACACTCCTGGGTTGAGATAAGAACAGTTTAATAATTGAAATAAGGTAAAATAGTAATGATAATAATAACAATATAATAATGATAATAACAATAATAATATACAAAGCAAGTGATGCACAATGCAATTGCTCACCACCTGCCAACTGATACCCAGACAGTTCCTGAGCAGTGATCACAGCTCCCCGGCCAACCCCCTCCAGTTTACATACTGAGCATGACGTCATATGGTATGGAATAGCCCTTTGGTCAGTTTGGCTCAACTATTCTGGCTGTACCCCCTCCCAGTTTCTTGTGTACCTGGCAGAGCATGGGAAGCTGAAAAGTCCTTGACTAGCATAAGCAGTACTCAGCAACAACTAGAAACATCAGCATGTTATCAACATTCTTCTCCTACTAAATCCAAAACACAGCACTATGCCTGCTACTAGGAAGAAAATTAACTCTATCCCAGCCGAAACCAGGACACCTGTGTTGGACAGAGGGTGAGAAATAATGGATTGCAGGAGGATACGTGGGCACTGTGGGGAAGGGTGTTCATAAAACTTTACATCTTCGCTAGGTTTCCACGTGCAGGTAGCGAACTCATTGCAACCAATACATTGTAAGAACAAAATGAAAACAAGGCAATTTAAGTTGACTTTTCTTTGCTAGGATTATTCTAATATGAGCTAAGGACACACCTTCCCATGCCTGCCTCTCCCCAGGAAGCTTGTTTCTGAGGTCCATTGTTTTATGGTTCATCAGTGCTTCTCCTTCATGAACCCCAGGCTTGGGGCTGAAGCGCTTTCCATCTCTGTCACTGGGGAAACTGTTGCTGTTGTTTGTCCTTCCCATGATGTTTTAACTTTGGGTAGTCAGTTATTCTTTGAGGACTTTACATAGACTTAAAAATAGTGCAGGTAACCGGTCTGATGCATTTACGACCTAACAGTACTGTTTTCACATGTTCTCAGGGTCTGGAGGTGTACATGAAGAACAAAGACTTCCCTTCTCCCTTTGTACTCAATGAAAACACAGGGGAAATGCTAGGAAATTCTTGAAGAGGAGGGAGGCCTTTCCCCCTCATATCATATCAGATATCTGTCTGTCAGATCCATTATACAAACTGACATCACTCAAATGTCAGTATGAAGTGCATTATAAAAAAAATTGCTTTGCCGTATCGGATCAATGCCAAATCCTTGCAGCAGTTGTGTTTACACATACGTGCGTGCTCACCAGTTCTCTTTGGTAACTTTGAAGGCTATGACTTTTGCCTCAGTCTGTTTTGTAGACTTGGATGTGAATGAAGATTCCTTGGTACCAAAGATTCCTTTGGTACCTTCTGGGTACCAAACAGATTTTATATTTCTTATTTGCTGTGCATACGAATATGTAAAAGAGCCAGTCAAGGCCCAGTAAATCAGGTTTACATTCAGGAAGATTAAATCTCTTCAGTGCCTTGTTAAGTATCTTGTTTGTGCTGGTGGGGTTGGGATTTTTTTTTTGGTTTTGTTTTTAAATTGTGTGCACAGCTGAAGAATCAGTTTGATCTGTCTTTTCCCTAACCCTTTGCTGGCTAGAAGATCCAATTCAGCAATTGCATCCTCTAACCAGACCATACAGAGGAGTCTGCTGTAGGTAGGGATGCTGCTGTGCATAAGCATTGCTTGAGGTTTGGACTCCAAAGCAGAACAAACTAGTTTGCGTATCTAGCCTTGCTGGTGCCATTCCAAGAAAACAGAAGTAAATATGCAGTTTAGACTGATTGCTCTTTACAGGTGCAGTGACCTGTTTTTTGTAATTAAAAAAAAAAAAAAAAAAGATGATGAGAAATTTTTTCACAACAACCCTCTGCTCTTCCTGTCTATAAAAAAACATCTATTTTACTTTTCATTTTTCTGTTTAATATATACCATATGCCTTAAAGGGGACCTCTTTATGTGAAAGCAGTAAGAGGAACAAATGCTGATGGTAGAATTTAATGCTTAACCAAAACCAAAAATAGACTTAATACCAGCATGACCAGTGTATACAGTAAAACACCAGCCTCTGCTTCTACAGTTTCTGGCCAGGTAGTTTTCCAGCACTCTCTCACTTACGAAATAATTCTTTAGATGCTTTCCTTTTAAATATATTACTAACCATAATGTAAAGATAAGTGTCAGCTAATTAAGGATGCTAATTGCCAGAACATATGTAGCATGTGAACTCATCTCTGGCTGAGGGACCCCAGGGTGGCTGTGACCCACAAATGATTGCTCCTGTTCAGCCTTTGGACGCTGCCCAAGCAAGCTCATGCCAGGCAACTGCCTGCTGTAGAACCTGTGCCGAGCACACCAAAGTCATTTTACCCTTCGTGATGCTTCAGGTGCACTGCTGGGTGGCCTTTACTTGAGGAGCACTCTATACTTTCACCCTAAATCAGGTGTTAAGGAAGTTGATGAGGAAGATGCCTCATCTGAAATGTTGTTATTCCATGCATCTGCTTCTACTGAGGAATTGCTGATGCTATTTTATTAAGCATAAATCTTTTAAATAACTTACATGGCTTTCTGTAATTTCTGACATGAAGCTGTATTCAGAATGTTGGGGAAGTATAAAAATGGCTCTGAGAGTAAATACAGTTTGTAAGTAGGCTCATGTTTTCCAAAGAAAGCATCTAAATGTCAATGGCAGAGTTTTCTGGTATAAAGTGTATCTGCATGCACGTAAGTAGTGAGCCTTTTGCACATGCAAACCAGCTAATGACGGTTCTGATGACCTCATTTTTCATGTGCAATCATAATTCCCATTTTTAGTATAAATGAAGCATTTGTTCTCAAACAAATACTCAGATCTGTAATTTTTTTCGCACAGTGTTTCTATGGGTCATTCCATTTCTGTCAGTCAAGTTTTCTAACTGAGAACAAATTGTGTTGTACCTTTGTGAGTATTGCTTGTCGATTCAGGCACACACTTGTTTTAAATTGCACTGTGCTATAAAGAAAGGATATTTCTTTTGCTCTTTCTGAAGTGCTTTTTCTGTTGAAACTTCAGATCCCGTGAGCTTTAATCTTGTGTACACTGAGCTGCTGACATGGTTTTTAGAGGTTGTTTTCAAGAAGCAGCTGAATTAGAATGCTAAATGCCTTGTCTGTTGGGGTTTTTTTCTACAACTCCTCACATTTTAAACTGGAACATAGAAAGAATTTTGAGAGAATTTAAAAAAAAAATCTGTTCTGCATGTTGCAAAGTACTTCTAGTATGCATTCTGGAATGAAAAAAGTAACTGAAACAAAGCGAGGTCCTGTAGTACTCCAGAAACTTTTGGACACCTAAGCATTTTTATAATAAAGATGTTACTGTGATTTCTGTGTGTCTGTGTTTCTTGTTCATGAGGAAAATACACTTACTGTCTTTGTCCCTACACATCATGGGTGTTGTCACCACAGCTGCAGGACACTGAGATGTCACTGATGGCATGGCTGGAGGCTGCAGTGCCCATGCTTCAGGCATACAGGGGGATGTGAAACTCAGCAGAGGGTAATTCCTGAAGGGGTTTGACATTGTGGGATGTATTTTTTCATCAGAAAACAGAAGACAGTGTTCTTGCCTGCAATCCTGTTTACTTTTTTTTTTTTCCCCCCAGACTTTTCAACTCAGTTTACCAAGGGGAGGGAATTTAATTGTGGGTGGTGTGTGGTTTTCTTTTATTTAAAGTAGCTTTGAGTGATCTGGATCCGAGTCAGGCTTTCACAGCTGTTGTATAGGTAATGAGCACTCACTGTGGTGCAACTTCTGCTCAGCTTCCCATTGACAGGCACTTTTTAAACAGGGCTCTATTTATAGAACAATCAGTAGGGGAAGTTAGTAATGACAAATAACAGATTGTCCTCCCTGTTGGGGGTTTAGTGCTGAACCCAGCAAAGATCAGAAGTAGATATTCTTCCTTACCTCTTTCACCCTATGTTTCTCTCTTGGCACCCATATGCTGAGGTTTTTAATGTGTTTTTAAGCTACATGAATCAGTAGTTTCCTGTGATAGGAAAATAAATACTAAAAATGAATGCATGCTTCAGGCTTCTGTTGAATTGTTCCTCTGCTTGTTTATGTGGAGTGCTCATATCTACTAGAATTGTTTGCTTGCTTAGTTTTTTAATCATGAATTGTTCAGAAAAACACCCAATTTTCAGTTTTATCTGGAAATCTAGTGTGAGGTGGATTCCAAATTTAAAGGATCAAATGATGCATGTTAACTGAATAGTTAGGCACAGCTGAAGGTGAATTCAGTGCCAGCACTTAAAGCAGTAGTCCATGGCTGCTTCAACACTTTCTTTTTCCTGTTGGACTACAAACCTGATATAAGTTTGTAATCATAATAAGTAATGGTTATTACAAAACCACAGTCATATTGTGACTCTGAATATGTACCTCACTAAACAGTGGTCTTCCTGTTCCTTTACACCCACTGATAATGTCCCTCCTCTGCCCCAGTGAAGATGCAGAGAAATGGATTTAAACTAAAGAAGAATAGATTTAGACTAGACATAAGAAAGAAATTTTTTACAATGAGGGTAGTCAAGCACTGGAACAGGTTGCCCAGAGAGGTAGTGGAGGCCCCATCTCTGGAAACATTCAAGGTCAGGTTGGATGGGGCTCTGAGCAATCTGATCTGGTTAAAGCTGTCCCTGCTCACGGCAGGGGGGTTGGGCTAGATGATCTCTAAAGGTCCCTTCCAACCCAAAGCATTCTATGATTCTTTTTGCACAGGGAGTGATGAAGGGCTGGGGGTCTGTGGTGAAGCAGGTGAGGGAAGGAATTGTGTGGGAGAAGTGGATCCTGCTGAGTACCAAAATTCAGTGCCAGATCTTGTGGAAGGGTTTATTTACACACATAAGTTGCTTTTCACCCACTCATACACATCCTCTAACAGATTTCAGTTGTCTACTCTCAGGCCTGTGTTCCCGCATTGTCTGCTCAGGACTGTGTGCATGTGATGCAGAGGATGAGGAAGGCCAGCTGTCAAATGTGTGTCTGGGGCTCTCACTGGCAGGTGATAATGACATTAGATGGCTCTTCTCTGACTTCTGGGAATCAGCAGGTTTTTTGGGGTTTTCTTTTCCTGTGCTCACCTTCCTGGCCGGCTGGCAGGAGGAGCAATGGTGTCTGTGGTGTATCCTCCTCTTGTCAGGGTGCAGTGTCTTCTGCTGCGTGGCTGGTGCTGTGGCCTTACCAGAGCATGGTTCTCCAAGCTGAATGGGAGCTGCACCTTCCTCAGCTCAACTGGTGGGAGCATGCAGGCCCTTCTGTTAATTGTGGTCGAGTTGTTTTTCCTGATGACCTCCCACACGCACATTTCCACTTATGTTTCTTTCATGCCAATATTTCTGTGACTGGTCTCTATATTATAATTTCACAACATAGAGGAAAAGTGAGGGCTCCCAGCCTCTCTCTAGGTCTCATTTCCCACTCAGGCAGCTAAAGTCCTCGCTGGGCAGGGCCTGGCTACATGGTGAGAGTAGCTAAGGCAAGGGACAGCAAGGGGAGAGAGTGAAAGAAATTCAGCCCCAAAACACCGTGAACCCTGTGCCCGAAAGAGGTCCCGTGCCAGGATGACTGGTGGCTTTGCTCAGACTCGGAACAAGCCCACGCCGAGAGCTGCGTCCCCCCATGGCATCCTCGGCGGCTGCTGCGGGTGGGCGGTGCAGGGCC